CACACAACCATTCAACTTTTGCAATTGGTAATTAGAAACTTCATTGCTTTCTTAAAAATTATACTTCTTTATAGTAAGGTGTACTATGATACAATTTTTGATTAAAAGAATCACAGGCTCATTCTTCTCTGAGGATGTATTTCTTATTAGTGCAAGGATGGAACTGCTCCCTGGTTGGATAAAGATAGTGGTGTGACAGAGTGGTACTGCATGACCTGTACTTCATTAATTGTAGAACTTGGAAGATAATAAATGTGGCAGTGTTGCAAGAGGAGAAAGAATAATCTTATGGTTGAGGAAGCCAAATGTCACTATAAAAAACACATTTTATCCCTGCTTCTGCCGCAGGCTTGCACTGTGGTATTAGCTGAATCACATTAATTCAATTTTACAGCTGGCCAACAAGAACTACCAGTGCACCAATTCTGTAAAGACTTGGGTGTCCAACTAGACATATAGGACAGGATGGAAGAATGAAACAACTGTGAGAGAAATAAAAAAAATGAAGGGTACACAGTAACTCAAGTAATTAAGTAGTGTGATGTAGATGAGTATACATATATGAATCAGAAGCTTCCCTATCTGCCTGGTGGTTTACTGCATGAGAAAAGGTTATTTGTATGTTTCTCCAAGAAACTAAACTCCTTTCCTATTTTGCAGTGTAATAAGAACAGATTTACATCATGTTGTGCTGAGTACAGTAGAAAAGACCAGAAGGTATGAGTAATTCTCTGTAGACCCCTTGGATGTTCTACAATAAAAAAGGCAAAATCCTCTACACAGAAGCATGAAAATAAAGGTATGGATTTGCTGTTCATGAAGTTTCCACCTCAAGAAGGAAGATTAATTGAGCATATAATTAAATATTTCATCATAGTACAAATATCAAAGAAGATCATGTTAAGTTTGTCCAGGCAAAGTTAATTCTGACATTTTTCTGGCAACTGGCTGCAAATATATTATATTCTTTTACCTACATCTTTCTCTGTGAAAAGTGCACAGAAGTAAAATATAGTGAAGGTCAGTATAAGGCCTTTGCAAATGTTTGTTTAGGATAATCACAGATTTCTTGGGAAGTGCTTGTAAGTCTTCATTGGTGACTACAGTTACAACTTTCATACCATATCACTACATCTTATATTCATAAATGCCATATATTTTACAAATATATGAGAGAGATTTTTAGTGTATGTCTTTTCTGATCCAGTTTTTTGTTCTTCTGACATAAAAGATGTGTCATGCTTCCAAATTTGTAGCACTTAGAAGAAAAATAATTTCTAGTAACTTCTTGTTTAAAATACTTTTTCATATATTATATAGTGAGAATTGCAGATTCTGTTATCTGTTGTACAGGCTAAAAAGAAATTTTATGCTCCACTGATGGTAAGGCAATTTTCATGGATAGATGCTGATACAAAGCTCAACGGAAAGATTCCCATTGATTTCAAAAGACTTCAAAATGACCCCATGAAGAATCTACTTTTAGCCTCAAGAAATTCCAAAATCTCCAACTTCTAAACTGTTTATTTAATAAGAATAAAATAAAGTCCATGTCATCATCACCAGCCAAATTAATCTAAGACAACTTACAGATCTTGGAAAAAGAAGGATGTCGAAGGTTGCAATGGGGAGAAGGAAACCTGCATGACATTTTGGCAAAGCATAGGTTCATAATTGCAAAGTCTAGGTGATTAAGTGTAGAAAGAAAGTTCATATCTTCTTTCAGGTTTCCTGTGTGCACAGAATTTGGGGATGTGCTCTTTCCTTGTTTTAAGTCACTTTATTCTTCTATCATAATGAAACTTCTCAGGGAAAATTTGACAACAGAAGCTAAAAACACCCAATGTCCCTCGAGTTCCTTCCATTTTTCTTCTTTTTGTCAGAAGCAGTAATCCAAGTCTTAATTATACAGAACATGAAAAACTGTGATAATGGTAAAGAATTTCTACCATAAGATTTTTTTTTTATTACCTCCAGTAGCTGCCTTTGGGAAGAAGTGGTTAACTCTTCAGGGAACTTCTGTGCAGCCTTTTGCATCAAAAAGATTGCTCTGGATAGCTTATTCTTTTTTATTTTTCTCATTATAAGTGCCTCTGTAAAATACATATTTTAAGACATTTATAAAGCAGCAGCAATAATTTATTATACTTCTAGAATCTTAATTAATAAGCCGTACCTGTTAAATAATGGAAATCTTTAACATTTTTCACATGAGACTTGCTAGACTTAAGACTTCTGTCATCCTTTTGAGCACCTTTGTGGGAAGGAAATCCTGAGTTATTCATTCTGATAGTGCTATTGAGAAAATTCCAGTGAGAGGGGTTAATATGTAGTTTTGTAGTAAAGCTCTGCTCTATCTCATGTTCTTTTCTTTGGTTCAAGGAGAATTTCTTGGACTGATCATGCCACTAAAAATATTCCACCCTCATGCTCTAACATCTTTAGTAGTTATACTAACACCACAAGAAAAGAGAAATCTTGTTTGATCATAGGGAGCAGTGCACAGGGGAGCTCTGCAGTGTCAAACTAATACTAGCTTTCAATTAAAAAAAAAACACCAGGAATGGGAGACCAAGTAGAGTTTTTTTCAGAAGGCATTTGGCAAGAGTGGGATATCTACTGACTGGGAATAGATAAGGACAACTTCACAGTAGAACTTCAGATTACAAAAAGCATTGAATAAAATACTCAAGTCATTCTCTAGAGAAAAAATTAGCATTACAGAAAAAAATTTCTTTAGAGCATCCCCCAATTCTTCCTTACTGACACTGTAACAGTTAATATTATAACTGAAATACCACAACAAACTGTCTAGGAATCAAATCCAGTAGTTGTTAGCAAAGTTTAACTCCCATTGGTTGATCAGAGGTTAGAGACTAGTATCATGTGGTAAATCTAAATTCTGCAAATTAAATACATTCTTTCTGTCTGTACGTGGCATACAAACTGCCCAACATCAGCTCCTCTTCAGAAAGCAGATACTCCTTTATGTCTTAGTATTACAAAATATATTAACAGAGGACTCTAATCAAGCTATGAAGATTGTTTAGCCTTACTGAAACCTACCTTGTGCCATTTTAAGAAGTTTCACAGCTACTCGATGTTGGGCCTGAATGAGCTCCACGTGTAAGTCCATTACAAAACCATTACCTGTTCCTGTCTTATCATTACCACATCCCAAAACAGAATTCAAATTCTGATCATTTGAGTCCACCTAATAAATAGGAAATGGCAATTAAGCAAGCACAAACTTTTATTACTTAACTTACTGCATTTATCTTGACATTGATACCATTATTTCAGTAAATTGACAAACACTGATATTTGCCATATCTGTGTAATATGCAGTCATTCAAGAAAGCAGGGAAGGAAGGAGAATGACTAGACAGAGAAAGAATGGCTAACGGACAAAGAAAACTAGACAAAACCTGAGAATCAATAGGAAACTGGATTAATAATATATATGAAACTGCAGAAAAAATTGTTTTATTGTGTTACCACTCCACAAAACAAAGATCATATTGGTGTAGAATTATAATATTTAGAAAGTCTGAACTCACCTCAGCAGAAAAAATTAATGTTAATAATAAACAGCTGCAAGCAATAAATATGAAAAGGATTTCTGCTTTTATTTTATAGGAGAAACCTACAAATTATTATTATTTCCAAAAGAAAATGGCAAAGAAAACCTAAAAGAGTTTATAGTTTACTACTGAAAGAGAAAAATGGTCTTTCTACTACACAGAGATTTATTTTTTCTATTCTCTTCTTACATGGAGTGGGAAGATGAGGTACATTTGATAATGCTAAGATTTCTAAGTATGAAGAAAATATGAGTCATCAAAATCCAATACATTATTTATAGATTTTGTTGCAGTGTAGATTTTTGTAGACTTTACCTTTGTACAGCAGTTGTCAAATATCGACTTTCCATCTGGTAGAAGGGTCATTAAGTGAGATGTGTTCATTACATTAATTGCTTTTTCAAGACTTTCATATGCAACTTGTAATTGTTCTGTAGGACTTTTCTAAAATGAAAACACATAGAAACACGTTTTATTAGATAACAGCATTAAAAGCTATAATATGGACTATCAAAAGTAAAGCGCTATTATTTTTAGCTGTTGCAGTTTAAACTCTGTCAAATAATGTTTACATAGGCACTGCTCCCCATGCTTTCATATACTAATATCAATGTTTTAAATTTCAAGTAATTTTAATTAATTTAGGACTGATTTTCCTTCAGCTCTCAAAAAACAATTTACTAACTCAAAGGGTTAGCTTACAGGAGAATGAAACTGAATTAGAGAATTAAGTTGACAAACACAGTATTTTTCACAAGCAATTTTTCAATGTTCCATTAGATGCTGTTAAGAAAACACTGATTTTTCAAAAATGAACATTTTTAAATAGACTATCACTGAATTAAAGCTTCTCCATGTGTGTAAGCATTAAGACATACCATTGACAAAATTTCTGAATCCTCAGACTAATGTATGTCTTTTCTTCTTAATGTGTTTTAGTAAGTAATTTTGAACTATTTGGTTGGACACTTCTGCAAAGTGCTGAGCACTGACGCACTGAACAAAGCAAGGACACTCAGGATGTTCCATCTATTCCACATCACCCTCACAAAAACAAACAAAGAAAAGCACAACCCAAAATATTTCCCTAAATGAAGCAAGGGCTAAAGTTTGTATCTTTGTATCTTTAAAAAATGAGCCATTAAATGATTTAAAGCTGGTACTATATGTTGGCATAAAAAAGAGTGTACAGTGGAAATCAGTATGATCATGCTGTGAAAGAAGTTTCAACTAAAACTTCTTCCATATCACAGATTACTGTAAAAGACTACAGGAAAAGTTTCAGATTTTATTTCATTTGAAAAAATATCTTTGCTTTTTCCCTCTGCACTAGCATGACTGTGTGAAACATTTCAACTTTATAAAACTAAATAAAAAATTGTATGAAAAGCTTCAAGCAGAAATAAGTGTTCTTATGCTATTCAAAAACTTTATATCTTTATATTAATTAAAACAAATTAGACATTACCATCAGTATTTCAGGAATATCATAGGTTTCATCTTGTGAGAAAGAGGCACTTCTTTTTCCTTTTTTATAGGAAGAAAATCAGAAAGCGAAAATGAAATATAGTCAGAAAATTTTAGTAGCATTTGATTAGCTCTACTACTAACTTAAGAGTCTGGCAATAATTCAGTTCTTCAGTACTTGACTATGAAAGGTAATTATATTGTTTCTTGAAAAGCTTCTCAGGGTTTAAACACAATAGATACATATGTACAATTATACTAATTGAGTATATGATTATCCAATTTAACATTCCTTGAAGGGCTGTTATCACTCTTATAATGTTCATTTGGATTGTTTAAATTATTTTGATTTATCAAGAATGTACCCAGAATTGTGTTTTCCTTTCCAAAACAAGAGGAAGCAGCTTCTTTGCTCTTGTTTACAGCCCTCTAAGCCTGTCAAAAAATTATTTCTTCACCAAAATAAATTCATTTTTTGCCCTTTCAGAGAGACAACCTGCTAGTCACTCCTGTACTCCTTGTGCCACTTTTGCCTATTTATTTCTGCTTGTTCACTGTCTCTTTCTCATAAATAAGAAAATCTATATTCACTCAGCATTCATTCAGTAAAAAGACTCTTCTCAGCATACACATGTGCTTGACTGGCTATTTATCAGCTTGTTTTGAGCAATGGCTCCTATTTATTCAGGGTTTTTTTTCCTCCAAATAGACATATTTAAACTGAATGAAAAAGAATAGCAGTGATGCTACAATGGGAATTCATCCAATCTCCATCAGTATGGTCTGATTTTCATAACATTCACAGAAAACAATACCTACTCTACCTGATAATGGAATAGTAGTGTTCCAAGATTTTCTTACTTTCATAAAAAGCAAAAGGTATTGTCATTCTCTTCTGTTCCTAGATATGCTCTAAAAGGGTCCTTAAAATCTATTCTCTAGCTACTGCAAAAAAATTACAAGAAATATGATTCATATTCCAAGATCCTACATCCACAACAAGAGAGAACTTTTAAAAGTATGTCAAAATATTCATATTTTACACTGTTAGTCAGGTTTTGTAAGAAAATTTGTTTAATGTGATTGGATTATATCCCAATAATGTCAACCAAGTTAAGTTCAATTTCAAAGATAACTGAATTCCTATACAAAAATCAAGATGTGTGTAGACAAGAGAAGCAATTTAATGGCCCAATAAAAGCAAAAGCTTCAGTATGACCTCAATATTTTCCTCTTCTCTTTGGCCTGCCACTAGTCAACCAGCACTTGAATGCTCCAAATGAACCACAGCACACACTGCCTTCTGCCTAGCCAATATTCAAACAACATATGAGTGATCTGAGGCTACTCTGAAGAGGCTAAGAGACATGTAGAAGACCTGTGGGAAGGGCGAATCATAAGAGATGTGATTCAAAAATGTATACTTCAGCAAAACTGGAAATGCAAGGAAATAGGGCATAAATCCTTTGAAAAGCAGGCTTCATTAGCTCTGATTATGGATGAAATTGTATGTAAAAAAAATTATTGCTCGACTCTCAACCATCTCTTTACAACAATTTTTGAATATGTATATTTGCAAAAATTTTCTACTCCGAAGAGTTCCAATCTTTAAAGTCGTTCTTGAAAGACAACTACATTTTTGTTGAAAACTTTACCTGCTTTTTTCTTAGATTTACTTGCAGAATCAGCTACATTTTCCAATATTGCACTTAGACGTAAGGTTACCTCTGCAAACATTACAACATTAGTGTCTGCTATGCTGCTTTTCGGAATTACTTCATTTATCATCCAGAGTACATGAACCCACTAAAAATGGGGAAAGCGGAAAGAAAAAGATTCAGAACAGAGTTAAAATACATTTTAGGAAGCTATTTGTGTATTACAGAGACAGATAGGATTTTGCACTCAAAATTGTTTAAAAAGATTCATAAACCTGGACACAACTCCTTTCTTTATTTGAATACCACTAGACTAAGATGCTGAATTTGTTCTGCTCCGAAGCCCCTATTTTTTCAGACAGCAGACTTTTTTATTTTAGAATATTGTTATTTTTTATTATTTTAGAAAGGTTTATGACTGTTCTATGGGCACATCTTTTATACTTTGTCACAGTGTGGTAAGCCTTACAGAAGATTTGATCATTTGCCTCTCATTTATCCCCATATCTTCCCACTTAAACTGTATAAAAGAAACCTGAATGCACCTATTGTACACACAGAGGAAACTGTACATTACCTTCTGGTGAATCTCTCAACAATTTTATTATAGGGGTCAGGGCCACAAAATTAACTCCTCCAGAAACTGTTTGGTCAGCACCAACTGGCAGCCCAGAGAAACTAGTGTAAATTATCCTTCCCAAGACTGCGTTTCACCAAGAGCCTCTCAGGCTCAGGAAAAGTTCAAGGTAAGGCTGTGCGTCTGTCCAGTGAGCCAAATCCTGTTGACCCTCATGTTCCTTCTCTTAAGCTGTAAGGTTTTTCCCTCTTTCTTCAATTGATCTAGGGAACTTTCTTGAACTATATTGGTATTTTCCACCATAACACACCAAATCCTGCTTCTTACATCATGCCCGAATGCTTTCACTATTTTAGCTTCTATCATGGCCCACTGTCAGAGAATGGGTTACTTTACTGGGCAAAGGCTAAGAAGTATTTTGATACCGGCATATGGAAGCACAGTCTGTTTATATAAAATGCACATTTTCAGTGAAGAAGATATATCTGCATTTTACCATAAGAAAATGTACATAGACTGGAGATCAGTATTTTTTATCTTGGCTTTACTATAACAGACTGCACTCATATTAAGAGAAATACATTATAATAAAGAGTACTTGGTAAGCTTTGTATTTGTGGATATATTTTAAGCAGTCACTTCCACTCTTTTGGATTCGCTGAAGTCCTGTTTTACACTTCTGCCACAAAAACATTATTACATCAACAAGTATTTCTTTGTCAGGCTGGATATTCTGGAAAGAAAAAAAACAACATAACTGTAGAAACAAGCATGTATATACAGTATAAAAACACTCTCAAAATTTTTCAAAGTAAATAAATCATCATATTTGACTTTCTTATAAGGGATGACAACATTTTGAAAGATTAAGTAATATTTTTTAAAAAGTAATTTCTGGTAGATCACCCAAGCTTTTCTCCTCCCAACAATCCAAGTGGTTTTAGCATTTGGGGGTTTTGTATTAACTTTTTTGTTGTCAAGCTCTTAAAAGTCACACAGACAAGGAAAGCAGTGAGATGAAAATTACATTGGAGAGACAAGCAAATTAACTATCTGTGAAATGTTGTAACAGTCGACACATTCTGGGGAAACTCAGTAATGTAATTTAACAGTTATATTAACTTTGGGATATTTTTTGTTACAGTATTTAAATATTTGCAGAAGATCTAAATTAGTAGGCTTCATTTTGCATTGACAGAGTACTTCCACAGGTTGTTGGTGCATCTCAGATGAGGGAGCAGTGAAGAACAACTTAAACTACTAGAAAAAAGGTTGGAGTGGAATAGCTAACTGAACGAAATGTTAAAACACATCTACATCTTATGAAGAGAATAATTAACAAATTCAAAACTCTATTCCTAATTAACACATTTTAAAAGGCAAACAAGTCCGTCTACACTCTGTTAAACACATTCTGAACAGTGATTAAGGATCAGTACATATCTTTATCAGCATTTATACCAGAGTTGGACTAGTATGTCAGGTCCAATGAAACTCAAACTTGCTATATCCACACTATCTGCACATTCATATGTGTGTGAGCATAAGATTTCAGGAATATTGATATTGAGAAGTGAGGGGAGAAAAAGACTGAAAAAGAAGTAAATCAAGATGACTTGTTTGGTGGCAGCAAGCTGTTAGATTAGCTCAGCTATATCATGTAACTTCACCATCAGTGAATTCACTGTTAATCAAGGGAGAATTTGTCTTTCTTCCCCGGACAGATTAGGTACCAAAGGATTTGTGGGAGACTGTATAAGAACCAGAAGAGTTTAAAACCAGGTAACGTGCCTCCATAATACAGTGGTCATGTAAAAAAATGACAAATCATGCTATCTAAAGGTATAACTACCTCACAGGCAGGATATTTTGACTAAAAATACTACACTAAAGCTAAAAAATGTGTATGCCACAGTTATACTCAAACTGGGGCAATATTAAAATTATATCTAAAATTAATTTTGCAGTTAAGACATATGCCATGTTAGCAGAACACATTTTTTCTCAGGAAAATTTTTCATTAGTCTTTTGGATCACTATTTTAGTGTAAATGCTAGTGGAGCCATTGCACTGCAATTTTTTTCCCCTCACAGTAGCACATTAAGGGACATCTCGGTTTGAGCAAGTAAGCTAAAAGTGGTTACTCTGGGAATAAACCATCAGATACATAATGGGATTATTCTGTCGTGCAGACTTCAGCACAAAATTCCCACTCTCTTTGGGTTTGTTGTTGCTGTTCCTTGCTTGTTTGTTTGCAGTGAGAATTTACCTTAAATTGCAGGCATACCGCTGCTATAAAGGCATTATCATTCCTTAGGGTCACTGCACCCATTCCTATAAATATTGCACAAACGTTTTCTACAGCTGAACATATTTGCCCACCTAAATCTAATATCAGAAACTTGATCTCTGCTTTATTAGCTGAAACATGCAATTAGCTCTATGATATTCCACATGGATTTAATATCTATTAAACATTTTTAAAGTAGCCTGAGTACATAGCACCAATAAAATAAAAAAAAAAAAAATTGAAACAAATGTTATTTTTTTAAATCACAAATTGATCACATCTTATGGGTATATTTTTTCATTTTTGCTATTTCATTTTTGTAGTTCGTTAATCATGCAACTGATTCCTTAGGTCTTAAATTATATGCATTCATTACAGATTATGTGATTCATTCAGAATAATGTCTCTAATTTTATTATACCTGCTTAGATGTGGAGACACAGGAAAATACTGTTGTTGCCAAAATCATAAGATCATGAGAAGGCTCTCCGTGCTTTAAGGAACCCTCTATATTCAATGTTTTTAAAAAAGGAAGAAAAGGAAAGGCAAGGCATTATTTCTAGTTACAAACCTATGTTTGAAAACATCTGAGTGAACTGACTTACCAATTTATGCCAGCATATAATATACTCTAAGAAACAGTAAATACAAAGGGGACAGATATTCCCAAGTTTATTCACTTTCTGTGAAAAGTGAGCATTGGTATTTTGGGGAATGGAAAGTTTTCAAGATATTTGCAGGTTTTTGGAATGTTATACAATTAAATTACAGCTGCTCTAACAAGTTTTTCTTGCTTCGATACCAAGAAATTTTACATAAATGGAGAAAAAGGACAAAAGAAAGTCAAATGTGTCTGTTTAACTTTTTTCCTGAAAACCTGTCTGAAAACATCCATTCATTTTACATCTTTGCATATAACATGATGTATGTTAAACATACATGCTATTTCATACTCAAGGGAAATGGTATGAAGTCATGTTTTGGCAAATGAAAACTGGACAAAATTCAGTTGGTTGCAATTTCTCAATTGCTAGTTTTTGTCATAGAATACTGCAAGCACCATATTAAATAGTTTTTAGATAATAAACAAAATTTCTTTCTGCAAAAATATTTGAAGTGCAAACACAGCTATAACTGAACAACACTCACTTCTGAATGCTTCCTTCTTTTCAGAACCATCAGGCATCCTAGCTTCTTTGGTATTATTTTCACTAATAGAAAAACCATGTTTAAATTTTCTTGGAAATAGTAAAGGTCGCATCAGCGTAAGAAGTTTGAGTTCCATTTCAGCTTTCTTCCATGTTGGGTCATCTTGAGCCTAATTGACAGAAAAAACAATAGAAATTTGTCTTTAAAATATGTGCTTTGAATACTCTTCCTTACCCTCAAAGGAAAAGACTACATAAAGAATGTCTAAATAGCACCCGGATTACCTGAAGAAAATTAACAACAAATTCAATAGCAGAATCAAACACGTCCCATTCTTCATAGCTGAAAGCTAATTTTATAAATTTCACAGCAGCATCTCCAGACACCCCCTTTTCTCCTGCAGTGATGACAAAAATATTTTATCTTGTTTTAATATATATATTCAGAAGTTTAATTTAAGCAATAATTTGGGTATCGATAAATACAAAGATAAAACTCCACATATGTTTTTGAATAGTCAGCATAATCTTGAAGGATTTTTCAATAGCTCTACAAGATACAATAACTTTATTATTTTGCTCTAATATCTATGCTTATATACTACTTTAATGATGCATCTGCAATGTCCTGTTACATTCCAAAGAGGCTGTACTATTATTGATATTAACATACCTGTGTGGAGGATATCAAGGACCTAATCCTTTCTGTTGCAGAAAGAGCTTAAATCTGGCTACCACCCCATAATGACCCTTCTTTCCAGAAATTTAGTAAAAATAATGCATAGAAACAGGAACAATTTCTTGCAAGCTAGGTGAGGATTTCTCATTACTGCATCAGAAAATGTGCATGTACACATAGTGAGTCTATTTTTGCACTCTTCAAGTTTATCCAAACCACAGTAAGGCAGAAAAGGGATTCCCTGGTCCTTGGAACTCTAAGCAAGTGTCTTAGCTAATATATACAGCAGTGTTCTGCAGTCCTAAGAATATGCTACAGTCATTGTCATATCACTTGGGCACGTCGGCACTTGGCTAAAAGATGTTAGCAATATTAACTTAGTAACAGACAGCTGTTATTTTCCAAAGCAGCACAATGATTGGTCCAAGGAGCTCAACAAGCTTACGACAGTCCTTCTATTACTGCATCCCACTTCTCTTCCATAAGGATGTACCAGGACATCATCGCAGAATTTGGCCTTTGAATGATTGTTTAGGCACATTAACATATCTAGATGAACTGCTATGCTAAATAGTATGTGATTACAATGTACTTATATTACTACATCCTATTTAAATAATGCTTGTGTTAAGAAAATCATAATGATATTTGTACATAATCCCTTTTGAATGCCTTAATATTAAATGTATAAACAAGCATATCTCACACAAAGAGGACAGCATTTTGCAGTCCCTTTATGCATAGAACTGCTACTAACATGAAAATGAATTCTGCTCACCAAGCATTTGCATCACTGGGTAAAGAAGCCTTTGAAAATTCAAAGTTAGTTTACCTGTTAGTATCAACTGCAGAAGGGTTGATGATGCATTAATTATACCAAAATGATTGGTGCAATGACTTCCTTGAATACCAGTACTGCTCACTCCACCTTTAACATAGACATTTCGTTATATCAGTTTATATTGTATTTGACTTGTTAGATTCCAATCAGCCAGTAATCATATCAAGAAAATATGATTCTGAAGTGTATTTAGTCTTTATATATTCTTTTATTAACAAAATATCTGTATAGCTATGGCTATATTCAGTCCAGAGCCCAGCAAAAAACAGTTTAGAAGGAATAATCAAGTCCAGTGTTTTTCTCAAGCTTTTAAATCTAACTTTGAGTGATTTTTTTGAAAAAAATACATGGAACACCAGGGTATCTTGACCTTGACTGGCTTCCACCCCACCCAGCTGTTCTCTCACTGCCTCTCCTCAACAGGACAGGGAGAGAAAATAAAATGGAAAAGCTCATGGGTTGAGATAAAGACAGTTTAATAAGAAAAACCAACGCTGTGTGTGCAAGTAAAGCAAAAAAAAAAAAGGAATTTATTCACTATTTCTCATAGACGGGCAAATATCCAGCCACTTCGTGGAAAGCAGGGCCTCAGGATGTGTAGCAGTTACTTGGGAACGCATAACCACTAATGTGCTCCCATCCGTTCCCTTAGCCTCAGGTTTTATTGCTGAGCATGACGTCATATGGTACGGAATAGCCGTTTGGTGAGTTCGGGTCAGCTGTCCCAGCTGTGCCCCCCCTCAACCTCTTGCCCACCTCCAGCCTACTGGCCTTTGCGGGGAGGAGGGTTGGAGAGACAGCCTCGATGCTGTGCAAGCACTGCTCAGCAACAGCCAAAGCACTGGTGTGTTATCAACAAACACTGTTTTAGCCACAAATGCAAGGCACAGCACCATATGGGCTGCTATGAAGAAAGTGAACTCCATCCTATCAAGAAAAGATATGCATAAATTACTGTAGATTTTTACTGATAAAACAGACAACAGAGATTGGCCCAGATTTTTATCCTAAATTTTAAGAAGATAAGAAAGATTGCCTGCTTTTACAGGTGCTATTATTATAAATGAAATAACAAAGAAAAAACTAATAAAGTGGAGGTCTGGGCTCCTCAGCAACACTCTTTTTGCTGCTTTATGCTGTACCTGAGAGGATTTCCAGGCCTGCAAAAAAAAGCTCTGAAATGACATCACGAATTTCGATTTCATCAGGAACAGGTGGAGTAGGGTGCAACACATGCCTGCTACTATCAGACAGAGCTTCCAGGATGGCAAGGAATTGAGCTGCAGCACCATCAAACATTTCTGTCAGCAGTCGTTCGGTAGTAGTGCGAGGCCATGACAACTAAGTAAGAAGAGGTAATGTAAGCCTTGTAATATCTAAACTGAGTTACAATAAAGCAAGGTTTCTTTCAAAACAGTTCTCCATCAGAAAGTTAAGTACACGTTTAAAACAGAAAATAATATACTGTAAAATATATTGTTGTTATGTATTTTATGCTTCAAAGGCATAGCAAAACCTCATGCTAAGTGGGTACAGTACTTAAGAAATGCCATAATTTCATAGCAACCACAGGCACTGCTACATGGTATTTTACTTAGAAAAAAATACCATAGAAATTATGAGTGAGATTACTAAGGCCATGTAGTTTAAAGCCACCCAGATCTCTCCTTATAATAATACAGACTTGACCGTAAGGAGCTAAATTCTACACACTTTGCAGAAAATCAGAGAAAGATTAGGATGGTCAGCTCTCCAGTGAAAGAAAAACACTATTATATTCTCTCACTTGCACATTTCAAACAACATAACATAAAAATACAAGGCAGAACACACAAAAATATATTTGCACTATTGACAGCTAAGAAATCAGAGATCTATATAAGAAAATATTTTTAAATTTTATTTCGCTGTTCTGTTTATATGGTTACAAAACCACTACCAGACATAAAGTAAATCAGAGATACAGTACTTTAAAATGTTGCTCATAGTCCATTAACATTTCAGTCCTATATATTTGGCTTTTTTCCCAAATAAAAACACTTTAGATTAGTTTCTAGGCACATTTAACTAGACAAAAATTTGGGAATTTCCTTCTCGCTTTGCTGGATCCACATCCTTTATTTTAGCTTCCAAATTAATACTCACAGACAAGCTCAAATGTGTACCTCATGAAAAAAACCCTGATATGTTCAATATCTGACAGCATTCAGAGTAGTAAAGCTAACAGGTTATTTTTGTTTTCTAATAACTTATATAATGTGTGAGCCTCATCAATACTACAACTATCTGTCTTTTTCAAAGAGGAACTATTTCTGCTGGGAGTATAGTATAGTAAAAGTAAAAACAAAAGATAGTTAATATTGGATATTGACGGAGCAGCTAATCCTGGAAACCCTTTCCAGGCACTTGAAGGACAACACAACCATCCAGAGTGGTCAGCACGGATTCACAAAGGGGAAGTCATCCTTAACGAACTTGATAAACTTCTGTGTTGAAATTACTTGCCTGGTAGATGAGGGGAGAGCAGTGGATATTGTGTACCTAAACTTCAGTAAGGCTTTTGACACTGTCTTCCATAACCCTCAGCAAGTTTGCAGGTGACACAAAACTGGGAGGAGTGGCTGATATGCCAGAGGGTTGTGCTGCCATCCAGAGGGACCTTGACAGATGGATAGGAACCTCATAACATTCAACAAGAAGTGCAAAGTCCTGCACCTGGAGAGGAACAAGCCCATGCACCCGTACCCAGCTGGAAAGCAGCTTGGCAGAAAAGGACTTGGGGGTCCTGGTGGACACCATGTTGAACATGAGCCAGCGATGTGCCCTTGCAGCAAAGAAGGCTGACAGTACCCTGGGCTGCATTAGGCAAAGTATTGCTAGCAGGTCAAGGGAGGGGATCCTTCCCCTCTACTGATGGGGCCACACCTGGAGTACTGTGTCCAGTTCTGGGCTCCCCAGTGAGACACATGGATATACTGGAGAGAGTCCAACAAAGGGCCTTGAAGATGTTTAAGGAACTGGTGCATCCCCCTATGAGGAAAGGCTGAGAGAGCTGGGACTGTTCAGCCTGGAGAAAAGAAGGCTCAGCAGGGATATCCTCAATGTATGTAAATACCTGAAGGGAGGGTACATAGAAGATGGAGCCAGGCTGTTTTCGGTGGTTCCCAGTGACAGAACCAGAGGCAATGGGCACAAACTGAAACACTTGAGGTTCCCTCTAAACATCATGAAACACTTTCTCACTTTTAGGGTGACCGAGTACTGCCACAGGTTGCCCAAATCTGACTGGACATGGTCCTGGGCAACCAGCTCTATGTGGCCCTGCTTGAGCAGAGGAGTTGGACCAGATGACCTCCAGAGGTCCCTTCCAACCTAAACCATTTTGTGATTCTGTGATGCACATTCTCCTAGCAAAAGAACTCCAAAATAAATTTTCAATTTTTTTTTTAATAAATCCTCATAATGATGTTCGCAGACTAAAAAAATTTCAAAACAAACTATAATTTTTGGTTTATATTTTGTGCAATTGTAGTCAATATATCTTTTTTCCCCACACCGCGGGTTTGTTTTTATGACCCCAATCTAGGAATCAGATCTATGCAAGCAGAAAGCAATATACATCACATATATTCCAGGAGAGGCTAAGCAGAAATTGCAAGTTTTCTTTAAATACCTTCATTAAAATGCAGAGCAGAATGGCCATATAATTTACTACTAATAATATTTTTGCCTAAGCATTGTCTTGTCATGTTTAGAAAATAAACATTGCACAGGTGCAGAAGAACCAGTGAAAGCTAACTTAAACTAAATAGATTAGACTAGCTTGTTTCCATTTTTCAAGGTGATTTAAGTACAAAACCAAATTCCACTGCATATGTACTAGAAGAAAAGGAAGAGCTTTAATTCTTTGCTAGTCCAAGCATAATGTGCTCTGTAACATGCTGGACTGAGCTCTAAATATAACTGTTCTACCTGTTATACTACATTGTACGTGTTCTATAATTAAAGAAGGAAATTGTTTTGCAAGTCAAAACATTAGGCAAAAATAAATGTCCCATATTTTTGCTTTTACTTGACACCTAATAAACCTACAAAATATTCTGAAATAATTATTAAAACAGTGCTTTCAGATTTTACATCATTCAGCAAATCTTGTAAAACTACAAAAGGCATGCAGAAACAAATATGAAAATTCAACACTATTCCTTCTTAAATAAGGTAACGAGAACTGTTGTAGCATGTTTTAGAAGCAAAAGACTTTTGGTGGGGGAGTTATAAGCAGTGTAATTTCTAACAATTTGTTGTTAACTTCAGGCATTCAGTTTTGTCAGAAAGTCAAACAGACACTGCAGAACAAAATGAATTACTGAAAATTTTTCAAGCTTCTGGAGATGAGATATATGAGATTCTCATTATGTGACAGACAGGTTCCTAGCAACATGACGGGTATCTGATGAGCAAACACCCTATTTGAAAGCATGATGAGTTCCTAATATCCTAATTGTTCAGCAAGACTTTTAGATGACCATCATTCAGAAGTACTTAAGTCTTCCAGAATCAACTGACCTTGAGAAAGTTGATCGGTACCTTTATATGTGCAAACCACACATACTTGAACATGTTGAGGTTTGTGCCCTATCTTGGATAACAGGAAATTTCCAGTAAGTGAGGTTTGGAACAGATCGATTGTGCTGTCCATGCAGCTGTTTAATATTAATTACAATTCAAGTTAATGATTTGAAACTGAAGTATCAGTTAATCTTTTAAAAAGCTTTGATGAATAACTTATGTAACAGAAGCATTCAATACAATCAGATTACATTTGTAACATACCGGTGTAACTTCATTATAATTTTACTATTAACCATAAGCAGTATTAAATGAGCAATCTCAGTTGCTTCTGATAAGTCTTTCTAATACAGCCCATTTTCTTTAAAAAAACCAACATAATATAGACTAATGGCAAAGAAATAATTAAATACAAATGATATCAGTATTGAACAATTATTTAAGACAGAAAATACATCATTCTTATTTCAAATTATTTGGCTTTTACTCTACCTAGTGCAGTACATGTTTTGACATATAGCTTATCCCAAAGTATTTTATGAATAAATTAGATAACTATGAACAAAAAAATCCAGATTTAACCTATTTGTTCAGCTCTGATTGTTTGAATCTGTTCTAGCATCAGATAAACTGTGGCAAAGATGTCACTTTGTAGTATCTCTTTCTTTTTAAAATGCAAAGAGATTCCTCAATTTTGTCATTATATTACGAGGTACATATGTAATGGATCTATATCTACACCATAAGAACTAAAGGACGATGGAATTTCAGTCCAAGGGGACCTTGAGAAACTTGAGGAAGTAGTTCTACTGGGAGAAGTGCCAAGCTCTGCATCTGGGGATGAATGCATCTGTACAGACTGGAAACCAACTGTCAGACTAGCAGCACTGCCAAAAAAGACCTGGTTGTTAAACTTGAGCTGGCAGTGTCCTCTCATCACAAAGGCATCAAACTGCAGACTGGGTTACACTAGGAGAACTGTAAACAGCACATTGAGAGGTTATTTTCTCCCCTTACTTGGAACTCATGAGGCTCCACCTAGAGTATTATGTCCAGTTTTGGGCTTCTCTGTGTAAGAAGGATGCTAAGAAACAGGACAGGGTCTCGTGGAGGTCCACCAAGATGATTAGGGGCATAAAATGTAAAAGAATAGGCTGAGGAAGCCTTAGTTATTCTGGCAAAGAGGAGGTTAATGGGTGACCTAATAGCTGCCCACAACTATTTGAAGAAGACTTCTAAAAGTAAAGAAGCCAAACTCTTCTGAGTAGAAACAGTATAACAAGGAGTAATGACCACAGTTTCAACTTTGGGGGACTGGACTTGATTACTTCAATTCAGATGACTCTGAAAGCACCAGGGATGACTTGCAGATTGGACATTAGGAAAAGTATGTTAATTAGGAGGGTAGTGCAGTACTGGAAGAGGTTATCTAGATTGACTAGGGAATCTCCTTCACTGAAGGTTTTGAAGACAAAGCCACAGCTGATTTGATCTATCATCGGCAAAAGTCATGCTTCAAGTCAGAGGCTGGACTTCCAGAAGTCCCATGCAACCAACACCTTTACTCCTACAATACTGCAATAACACTAATTCTTCATAATGTAGTATTTGCAAAAGAAAATAATTTACTCCGTAAAACCAAACTATATTTGTATCGCCATCAGCTAACAACATTCCACAGAATAATGCTTTTTATCACAAAAGGGTATCACAGTGCAAAGAGATCTCAATCTTTTGCTTCCATGCAAAGCATCCGAATGAGCAGGCAATATTACTCAGTAAAAGACTCTGGTTTGGGGAGCTTGCTGATTAGTACTTTCAGTTGCTCCTCTCTGACAACTTCCTATGGAATACTGCAGGAATTAAATTTATTTAAATCACAATTGCAAACAGTAGGAAAGCAGAACAACCATCTGTCCATCACAAAGGGAATAACCACCCAGATAGAAGCATCCTCTGGCACAGTGAAATCAAAATGAGAACTTTCTATTCTGTCTGTGCAGTCCTGCATCTAGGAAAGGTCTTGCATTCAAAAGACCTATCAACCTATGACCAAAAATGGATGATACAGTATAAGATGCATAACCATTATGAACCGACATAGTAGCATGATGGCATAAAGATAAACTTAACTACTAAAGTTTGATATATTAAAGTCTGCATGCTGACCAAAAAAGGAACAATGCACTCGCACAAAGAAGCATTTTCTTTGATTATTTATAATTCTTATCCCAATGGATCACTCATTTTTGGCACTGGCTGTAAAGAACACAAGGAAAGATTTTTTTATTTGAGGAAAATTATTACTTCCTTAAAAGTCTACTTTGTATCCTGGATGCCTTTCTCTAATCCATGGTAACTTGCAGAAAAGTAAGTGGCCTTCAAAAAACAATCTCTCAAGACTTAAGAGAGTTCTCCAATGTAAGAACAAAAAATTTAAAAACGTGGTAGCTTTTTTCCAAAGTACCCTTTTATCTTCACAGTGATTTAACACAGCAGGGCAAACTCAGGACTCCCAAACACTTGGTATGAATTTGAAGAAAATTCCTCTTATTTTTATTGCCAGCATAATTGCTAAAGGAAAAAAATGCTAGAAAAATCACTATTTTCTAAAGTAGTAATTACTACATCTTCCTTCCTTTCAAGTTTGTTCTGAGTTTTAATAATAAATTATGTTAACTATGAAACTGAAAGAGTAAAACTTTCTCCTGGTGAATAGTACCACATGTATTAAGCAGAATTATATCACATATTCACCACATGCAAATAGTAAACAAAGAGAACGACTACACAAAATGTTAGACTTACATTTTTTGCTTCTTTCAGGCTAACTTTTAACTTAGGTCGAAAGTAGCTTTTCGGCTTTCTTCTGGATTCAAATACTGCTCTCTTGAAAATCATTACTGACATCTCAGAAAGAAAAAAGTAAGTAAATAACTGTGTTACGTGTTCTGTTCATAGAGACTGTAACTACTCTACCTGTTTATAATGAAATGCAGAATGATACCTTTAGAGTGGCCTCTCTAAAAATCTTTTTTGTCTCTGAATTTTCCAGCGAAGAACTGGTATTTTCTAATTGCTTCAGTTCATCAATTTTAATCAGACCACGGCGAGCAAATATCTGTCCAAAGTATTAAAAAAAAAAATTATACTCTGTTTTCATATTCTGTATGTTGGTATATGATTTTAGAATCATATTCTTGAATTCAGACAACTGCAAAGAGCTGCAATGAAAGCCAGGTCATGGACAACAATTGAAAAGGAAAAGAAAAGCTTTGCAAAATACCTTTTGTATATATGCATGGTGGCTGGCAACTACTTAATGCTAGAAGTCTATGACTATGATTATATTACAAAGTACTATTGCATTTAACTTTGAATTGATTACTCTTTTACATGTGGAAACACACCTCCACTTTGCAGTTAAATTTTGGAATATGGGCAGAACTCTAAATACATATGATCTGATAATAAGCAGGAATATTTAAATAAGTATTTATTTCCCATTTGATTGCATCTGAAATGCTACATATGGTAAATCAGGATACCTCTCCATGAATGCCGGCTTGACAATCAAAATAACACTGACAAACTGCAGTATACAGGGTGGCTCTCCACGTCAAATAATGTACAGATAAGAGCGGAATGGATGATTCCATACATATACTGGCCCACAGTAAGTATTCCAGGACCTGTATTGAAGAAATCCAGTTTTAAACTGAACGAATTTTAAACTATATAAATATACTAAAGGACACATACAAAGATTTATCCTCAGCTGGTAGGACAAATTAAAAGAGGAAAAAAAAATCACAGAAACTGTATTAATTTTTAACATGTTTTATTAACTACAAAGCATTCCTCCTGCATATTATTGTTTTTTTCCCCATCTGAAACTGTGGTCAGGCATTATCTTTTAGTCTCCAAGCTACCTTAACCACTCCAGTTCACTATAGCCTTGCCACCACACAGAGGTCCTACCCTTGTCTCTCATCTGCTCTTATCTTGAGAGTTTTTCCTCTCCTTTGTGTCAGCTCTAGTGATATTTTTTCTAAGTTGATTTTCAGCTAGATCAGCAAGCTTATTCGGGATGCAATGGAGTCTGCCTTCTTCGGTGACAGCCTGCACTTAGATTAATTTACAATCATGGAACTACACTATAGGATCTTCACTTTAGGGCCAACATAGTCATTGCACCAGTCTAATTTTAAGAATTAGTCCTACTAAATTGATTGAACAATATCTTCTCCTTGTATTTTCTTTGGGTCAGCTGTTCCCTAAGGTACACAAAATATGCACAACCTTAGTCCTAAATTAAATCAATATACAGATTTTCTTTTTGTCTGAATTAAAAGAATCTGAAATGCCTACGATCACTTCCTCTGTTTCCTGTATAGTAAAAGCCTCAATACGTTAAAGGAGGTGCTAAATCACTTCTGAATTCAATAAAAGATGCTCAAAGAGAAAATAATCTTTCCTGCTCAATAAAAGATTAATATAACCAACAGATAAGAAAATATACCGGATCTAGGCTGAGCCAGACTCTGTTCAAGTTTTAGGAGAAAAAAGTAAAGCTAAGGCAAACAAAAATTACATTCATAGTTAAAAAGAAAAGGGCAGGGGAGAAAGGCCAGGTCATTTTTATCAAGTATGTACAACTAAAAACCTAGCCACCAGGTGTCAGTACATTTCCACATTTTACAAAACAAAAGACCAATTCTTGGGATTTGATACAGTTGCCCAAAAAAAAGCATCCAGAGCCCTCTGAAACAGTCTAACATATCCCATCTGAAAGACCAGCAAGACATTATGCTGGGTTCCATTCCACAACGGAGGAAGAGCAGAGTCGTAAAGGCATGAGGGCTTAGAATTTGGCCATTTTGCAATCTAGACATTTTATTCCCTTGTGACAAATTGCTACTATTGGCAATGACAATGAAATAGATATGTCAGGGTACAGTGTTATGAAAAATACAGGTGCATTTTCCAATCTTCTGTAAATTTTTCAAACGTTTCTATTTATTTTGCCATACCTTAGCAGATTGACCTCTCATCATCAAATGTCTGCATATGGTGTAAATATGAATAGTACCTGCAAAAAGTAAAAACCATGTAAGTTCTATAATCCTACATGAAATTTGTTATGCTAACCAACTGAAACTTTTTCTTAACATCTGGGTTGTTATTTCCAGAGGCTGAAAAAATAAACTAGTAATTTTTCTATAACTACTTTTAAATTAGAGAAGATGAAGCCATTAAATTCTTGGGCGATATTAGCTTCAAAAATACCTACACAATGAAGTAGTATCATAAAAGAATGAAATCTTAAAAATGCACTATATCGAATTTTTATCAAATAACTGATAGAGAGAAAAATCTTATTTTTATTCCCAAATGCCAGCCTCTTTAAAAAAAATATTACGTCTCCTCACAGACCTTATGTGATTCTTTTAGTCTGTCATGCCTCTGTCCTAGCAGACAACACCACTATTATGTGATATTAAGTACGATAAGTGAAATGAAGAAAATTGATTGTGAATACAATTTTCAAAAGCATTAAAGTGACTTACAAATAAAATCCTGTCAAAAAAATTTACTTAATTTAGGCTATGTCACAAAATTCCTTTTCAAAAATCAGCCCTAGAAGTATAAAAGACATTGCAGTTCTGGGAAGGGGGGAAAGTCTATTCTTCTGTCTGTACAAATGTTCAGAAAGGGACACCTGTGGCAGCGGAAGGCATCACAATGTCAACTGTCATAGCTAGAAGGGTGTTATTATCCCAATAAGCAAGAATTGAGCAAGCATAATGAAGATTTTTTTTGTCAGTCAAATGCATAATGAGGCACAAAAACTATTGCCAGAAATTGCAGAAAAGTGCTCATGAACTGGGAAAAATCTGAGTTATCACCCAACATTTACTTCTAATCAGATTATTGGCTAGGCTTGGTACAGAGACCTGTCCCATACACAGGTAGTGGGACTTAAGAATGGCAGGTGAGTATATTTCAATTTTAATTCTTCTCCCATAGAAACAAACAAACAAACAAAAACCACACCTCAAAAGTAGGGACTGAGGGCAATGGCAGTCCCAGCAAAACAAAAGGATAAGAATTTTCACCAGTTATAGCTCAAACAAAGAGAATTTTCCAAAATTAAATTGAAACCACATTATCTCCTCAATTTATATTGCAACAATTGACCATAGTAGAATGAATTAATAAGTCTTTCGACTTTTGACTAAATAACATTGCCTTTCAAAGCAAAAATATACTGTTGTTGAAATAAAAATCTTGATACACCATTCACTGTGTATCTAGTTCATGGAAGTTCCATTTTTTCTTCATCTTTTTTCCTAATTCAAGCATTTATATGTAGCACACTGAAATCATATACAGAGAGGTACAAATTCCTACATGTCATATGGTATTTTTTAGAATAGTTTTATTATTAACTCCAGCCTTAAAGATCATTTAAAAAAAATACAAAGATGTAATGGACAGACAATAATTTTCTACTCTTAGACCTGCAACCCCCTTTAAAAAACAACAACAAAAAAAAACAAAACAAAAAAACCCACAAAAAATATTAATACAAACATTTTATGGATAAAAAATCTTATGAGGTTTTTTTTAATCGGGTTTCACTCAAAAAATGCCCTTATTATGCTGTTAGATTTCATTTTATTAGTACACTCTAACCACAGCTATGATGAAAAGGATACTACTTTTACAATGGTCCATCTGAAAAAGGCACACTATGTAGAAACTTCAATTTAAAAATCCCTCATTTTAGGGAAAAAAAAAAAAAACAACAAAAAACAAAACAACCTACTACAACTGAAGACTAACTAGAGATTTATCCATGACCCTTAGGTTGACCATAAAGAATATGTATAAAGTTTCCCTCCACAGGTTTGCTTAGCAAAGAAATGTAAATGGAAAGCCTGAGATACCATTGTAGATAAGCCAACACAAATTCTCCTGAGGTAGAGCCACTTGCATAGTGAGTCGTAATGAGGACAAGACATTGAAACAAGTCTGCAGGGACTCTTGATTCTGGAGATTTCTGTCACTGCTGCAAACCATCTGATAAATGCAAACATTCCTTTCTTGCAAAGCATGGAACTAAAACATATGGAAACATATGTAAAATTAATATATAGAGATAAAATAGATGCATATGTCCATTTTTACATCAGCGAAGTACAACAAAATGGTGAGTATTAAAAGATCAAGCATACCAGAAAAAAAATCAGCGTGATATTGAAATAAGAATTAGAGTGTGGAGAAAGTGCTCAAGCTTTAAGGTTGCTATACCGTTAGCCTGAGTCAGTTTCCACTGCGTCACAGGATGAAAATGCACCTAGTGCACTAGGGCTGCTGAAAGGGGCATAGGAAGAAAGGATAAATGAGGCATTAAACTGATATTCAAAGAATCTGGCTTTAATTCTTGGCTTCTCTGTAGACGTCTTCTGTAAATTAAGGCAAGTCTTAACTTTTCTGCACTTCTCCATTTGTATCACATATCTTCTTTCTCACTCTCATCCATTACTGTTCTCTTCTACAGATGCATTGTTCCTTCTCTTCCTTGTAATACCTAACATAATGTGATCTCAGTCTTGTCTGGAGTACAGTATCATCTGAACAAACCAACATGTGAGAAAATGAGCTAAGTGGGACACGGCCAGTCAATAACTATTAACCTCTCAGAAGCCTACTAACCTGGTAATATTTGAAATTATGTTATTTTTTGCAGTTCATTCACTGAAACTGGAAGTTTCAAGCCCTGAAACTCCATTTCTGTGATTTCCTTAGTGTTACAGTAAAAAACGAAAGCTAGATGCAGAAACCTGGCCAAAAAATTTACATATAAAGCCTTTAGATGTAACCATTTGACACTTTATCATTATCCATTTCCAGTTGCAGAGACCATTGTCAAACTAGATTCCATATCTGAAAATTCAGGGATATCTCGGTGTCTAAAGGCCAAGTTATAGAATGGGCATTTTAGTATAGACTCATTATAACATCTGGCACTATAATTGGTTCACGGTCTGGGCAAACGTATAGAAAACAGGAGAAACCATCTCTGGAACTTCAAATTTATTTACAAAGCATTTTTTTAAAAAAACAAAATAAAATGGGTTAACATAGTCTCTGATCACATTCTCTCTAGGAAGCTGAACTATTTTTGAAAAACAAAAAATAATATAAACAGTATCTCTTCTATCACGACATCTGCTTCTAGCTTTTAAGCAAACTGTCTGCTTTTTTCTCCTCACTAAACACCTATTTACAATCTAACTCTGACTAGAGGAATATGAATTTTATTAGCTCAATACACAGGAGATGCCTACAATTTCCTTTTGTTGCTCTTGATCACAGAATAACTCGCATTACAGAATAACTTGCATTATTTTGAAATATCCACCATGTGCTGAAAATAGAGCTTCTCAGCAAAGAACTGCTTAAGATAAAATCTAACATGTTTTTAGCATTCCCCCCTATACCTACTGAAACACTTTCTTCCATGGATAACAAATGATAAATTGCAAGCCTCTCCCTCAATAAGCAATTAACACAAAAGGATGCCAACATACTCTAGAGGTCACTCAGCTTCCCAGAGCTTAGAGCACTTTTAGAAAACTATTCAGCATTCTGCCTCTTTTTTTCATAGTGAGCAAGTAAGCTATTGATAGTAATGCAATCCTGCTTTTTTACTGTCATGAGCTTTTTTTACATGTAGTATTTTTGTACACTTATGGTACAAATTACAGACAATGTTTTAATTCTCTTGCACTCTGCCCAGTTCTTACATCACATTGTACAGAAATTTCTGCAACAATTGCCAGACAATTATCAAATTTTGCCCGTATCCTGATTCTGACAGGGGTGAATAGCAACTATTTCAGAGCAAAAACTGCTGTAGACAGTTACAGAATAACCTGTTCAGAGAAAATTGCCTTTTTAACATTAAGTTGATAGTGGTTGGTTTATGCCACAAAAGCAGATGCACTTATATCCTCTTAAAAATTTACAGCAAGTCTGGATGTTCATATCATACATATGACTGTTAAATCTCAATACAATCTATATAGACAAACTATTAAAGATTATTAATATTAATATTTAATAAATGTGAAGTACATTTGTGGAGGATAAAACAGGCTACTTATTTTGAATCTGTGAATGTCTTGAAAAAAAAAAAAAAAACCACCTACCGTAAGTGCTGCATTTTTGTCTCTGAAACCATTTGGGAAAAAGGTGGATTTAAATCGATGGACATCATCTATGATATCATCAAGGTTTACAGAAATGAACTGCTGAAGATATCTTCCATAGCACTGTAAAAGTGCCAACTTATATTCCTGAAGAGCGAATAAGATGTTATTTTTATAGTTTGTATATTACATTTCTATTTCTATAAAGCGTGTTATTTTTCATTATCTTTATGTAAAAAGGTATCAATGTGAAAAAGCAGCTAGAAGTAAAACACTGAATTTTCATACAAACATTCAGCAATGTAATTTCTAATGTGAACACTCTCAGCATATGAAAGGTTGAAGTACTTAAAAGAAGAGCTTGTGATTTGGGAGTTTCTGTTTATTTTAATCATAAATATGACATATCAGAGAACAATTGTAAAGTATGATCCTGGGCTAATGTAATAAACTCCTGGAATGTCCTGCAGCTTTGCAACAGTACTGATAATGATACTACACTTCTGAGAAAAGTACCTCATAATGTTGAACTTTATAAACAATATATAGACATCATCACTTCTGCCTCCCCTGTTCCCCTGATGTCAAAGACCTTCTTTTATAAAAGCAGAGAGGAAGAGAAGAGGAACTGGAATTTACATATGGCCAAGAAGTCAGCATTAATAGACCAGAAATTGCCACTGAGTCTTTAAGAACTGTTAACAAACAGGATGTTGAGCTTTATGTCTCATTCAAAATAGAGCTCCCCAGCAGCACGTGGAACCACTCTAACATCATGCTGAGACTATGGTTCAGCTCTGACTCAGATATGGAAGTGCCATTTACTGAATCACCTTCACCACTTCCTGCAGCAAAGATTATTTAGAGGTTTCTCTACCAACTTCACTAATTCTAGCACACACACACACCAGTCATGATAAATTCTGGGGAAAAAAGTAACTAATTTGTATTTGTAAAAATGATCCTTTAATGTTTAATCACAAAAAATTCAAAAGTATTTCCTTGCACCCACTTTTTTCAATATAAATTCCTACCACCATGGTAAAACCTACCCTGAATTTTTAATCATCTGAGGAGTCTAACTCATGTGGCCCTATCATCCTCTTTGCTGTGTGAAAGCAGCAGCCATACACAGAAACTTTTACTTTCCATGGACAGCTATGGGCAGTCAGTCACTTGTGTAATCTAATACATAGATTCAGGCTGTACTCTTAGAATCTGAAGCCACGGATCAGAATCCTATTAAGTTAGTTACTAATATATAGCAAAAAGGTAATTTCTCTCCCAAACAGTTTAAAATATATGTATAAGACCAGAGATAACAGGCGGATACAGGCAGAGAGGGAGCGGAAAAAAATGAGTCAGTGCTGATCAGTATGATGACTAATGGGCTAACTAATTTGACATAACTAATATGACATAATGAATTTAGGTGTGTCCCAAAAGATACATAGCAGATGTATAATAGAAAATAATCTAAAGTGAGAAGGCACTAAAAAAATAGGAGGAGGACAGAAAGTTAAGTTCATGCTTATCCACTGACTAATCATAGTCAATAATTAATTTTAAAGACTATGCATCATTAAGTATTATATAACATAAAGGTCGCTTAAAATTCAACTGGGAGTTGAATTTTTCAGCTAGGAGTCAGGAGTTTCAACTAGGAGTCAAGAGGGGTACTTATGGAACAGGGTCTACCCCACCTATCAGAGCTTGGTGTTACACCACATTCAGCTTTCCAGTAAGGCAATAATTTGTAACTAACATCCATCACATATTTTTTGTTTGCATTTTCTCCAGGGAAAAAATGGATACAATGAAAACTAAATTTGTAAAGTCAAAGAAATGCACGTAAAAATGGGAGTTTTAAAGAAATGCAATTAAAAATGAGAGTTCCAAGGGCAGCTCATTTTAAAGTTCTAGGCTGGCCAGCAAAACAACTTTTTCTATGACACTGCTAACTTTACCTTCACTGTAGAAAACCACATTACAGCAGAGAACTGAAGTTGCAAGCAGAAGTCTTTACTCAGAATTCTAGATTATTTTTAGGCAATCTAGGTCCCATTCGTTAAGCACCTTGAACATGAGGACCAAATTACCACACTTGAGCTGTGCTATGGGAAGCCAATGTAAAGTACACAGAGCAAGGTTTGATGCTTTTGAAATAACTTCTCACTGAGTACACTGTGAGAGCAGCAGTTCCCAAGTACTAAAAGCTTCATGCAATATTCCAAGAAATTCCTAGGGCCCAGAAGCTATGAAAAGTTGAGGAAAACACAAACACGGAAAAACGGTGAATGGAATTGGCCAGGCAATGAAGGGGCTAGTAACAAATGCAGTTATTCAAGCTTCCTTAAGTTTTTCTGAGAATATTCCTAAACCTATACCATGAGCCTAACCTTCAATTATAATGGCCCCACACCTATGGACTCTTCTATATGCCTTCTTCAACCTACCAGTGAGTGTTGAGTGCTGCTGAAGTTCAGCTTCAGCTTGCTGCTCTTTATTCAGGAGGCAGGACACTTTTGTGGAATTCTTTAGGGCAGATGCAGTGAAGGACACATAAGACTTTGTAACATCTGCATGATGCTCATACCTTTGCCTAGTTCTGTGGAAAAGCTCACCTAGTAGCCACATATATATGCTTTCTCTAAATAGCATAAATAGCATTTATCCTTGATGGATTACACAAGCAAAGGATATAATAGTGGAAGAACAGTTTCACTGGATGTTTGCCTCCAAAAGATCGCCCCTAAAACTATGTTGATACATTATATCTTGATACATTCCTCCTGGAAACTATGCTAAGGCACATGGAAAATAAGGAGGTAATTGGTGACAGCCAACATGGCTTCACTAAGGGCAAATCTTGCTTGACAAATTTGGTGGCCGTCTACAATGGGGTTACAGCATTGGTGGATAACGGAAGAGCAACTGATGTCATCTACCTGGACTTGTGCAAAGCATTTGACACTGTCCTGCACAACATCCTTGTCTCTAAATTGGAGAGATATGGATTTGACAGATGGACCACTTGGTGAATAAGAAATTGGCTGGATGGTTGCACTCAAAGAGTTGCAGTCAACGGCTCAATGTCCAAGTGGAGACCAGTCACGAGTGGCGCTCCTCAGGGGTTGGTATTGGGACCAGTGCTGTTTAACATCTTTGTCAGCGACATGAACAGTGGGATTGGGTGCACCCTCAGCAAGTTTGCTGACAACACCAAGCTGTGTGGTGTAGTCGACACACTGGAGGGTAGGGATGCCATCCAGAGGGATCTTGACAGGCTGGAGAGGTAGGCCCATGTGTGCCTCATGAAGTTCAACAAGGCCAAATGCAAGGTCCTGCACATGGGTCTGGGCAACCCCAAACACAAATACAG